ACCCGCATCTGCACCCCTGTCACCCAGCATCTGGCACCTTGGGCCCTGGCCACATCCTGAGCATCTTCTAGGGCCCTGTAACCCTTTCCCAGAAGAGCCCAGCCTTTCTGGGGCCTGAAAACCAACAATCCCAGTTTCCTCTTTCGTAGTCTCAGAAACGGAAGCAGGAAATCCCAGGGGTGGCAACAGGCGGGTGGCTGAAGCTGCCCTCCAGGCCAGGAGGGCCGTCCCCACCATACAAACAGAACATCCCAGCTCAGGCTGGGCCTTCGTTTTGATTTTTCAATGCTCGGAGTTTACGATGGAGATCCTATCCCACCTCCTGGGTGCCCAGGCTGGACAAGAAGCACTAGGACCTCTGAGGAGGGATGAAAGCAGTACTGGAACATTTCTGGAATGCTTCCTCCCCTCCCCTTCCCACCATCAACAGAGGTTTACTGGGAACCTGTTGTGGCCCAGGAGGCCACTGCCCCGCCTCCCCCCGCCCCACCTGGGGAGCAGATCTGTGGCAATGTCCCTTCTAACTACCCCATGCTAGGTCTCAGCAGGGCTGATATCTCACAGTCCGCCTAGCATGCGCATTCGCTGACCTGAACAAGCTTAGCCCACAGTATCTGCTAGGCCAGGAGCACGTGCCCTGCGAGCTCCAGCTTGACTATCCCCTAGAGTCACCCATCCTGACCCCACGCACCCCGCCCCACTCTGCAGGTGACCTGTAGCACCTCACCCACTGTCTGTCTGGAGTCTTAGCACAGTAATTATCTATTGCCTTGTCTCGGGGCTCCTTCACGGTATAAAACATTCTGCTCCCTTGGGGTCCCCAGCAGCCCAGGACCTGGCACATAATAGCAGCCGAATAAATGTTGGTTAAATAAAAAGTCAGAAAAATCTGTCTCTTCCCTCGCTCCCTGCCACCCCTGCAAGTACAGTGGAGACTATCCCCAGGGAGCCCTGATCTAGACACCCACATCGCTCCAACAGACGAAGCACGTGCCCAGTGAGTGCCACGTGCCCTGGAGCAGATCACTTCACCTTTCGACACCTCTTTGCCCTCATGTGACATGGAGAGCACGTGAGCCTACAGGACTGCTGTGCATGTGAGTGATGTCGACAGGAAAGCACCTCCCAAGGTGCCTGGCTGATGGCAGGCCCTCAATCATCACGGCCACCATTCCTGTCATTTGTCCTAATTCGGAGGCTAAGGAGGAACTTCCAGATTGGACTCGGACCTTGCCTAAGGGACATTCTCCTATTTTCTAAGCACCCTTTATAAAAGAGTTAAAACACTCATGACGTTCATCAGAAGCTCTCCCAAGCCACCACAGGGGGACTGGCCACGGGCCCATCACTCACACTGGTAGGACTCGGCCCGGCCGCTCTGCAACACAATGGCCAGCAGCAGCGTGAGCTGTGGAGTCGTCTCCAAGAAGGTCTCAAAGAGCCGCAGCATGCTGATGTCCAGGGTCAGGAAGTCGGCGTAAGCCAAGTCAAACTCCGAGGGCGCCTCCTGCCGCCACACCAGGAGCCCCTGCTGCAGCCCCTGCACACACCTGGGGGGGGCGGACACGGATGCCCCAAGGGGCCAGGTTAGTGTGTGGTGGCGTCCCACCTTCCCTCACCCACTGGGTCGATGCAGGTGGCCGCCAGTCCTAGCTTGTCACTTACATGCTGAGGGGCCTTGGGCACAAGTGACTTAACCTCCCTGAACTTGCTTTTTGTCGTAGAATGGGGAGCAGTACCAGCTACCAGGGCTCCACCTGGCCGGGGTGTCCTAAGGTCATCACAAACCATTTACTCCTGACAACATTCCCATTTAACGGATGGGGAAATAGGCCCAAAGAGCTAATCAATGGTGGAAACAGGATTTGGCCCCAAAGCTGTGTGAATTTCAAAGGTTTACTGTGAAACTGCTTCGGGCGATAGTTCTCAAATGTTAGCAAGCATAAGATTTTTCTTAGGATTGGGGGGGGGGTGGAGTGGGGAGCCATTGAGAGCTTGCGAGCACAGACAAGATAGGTCAGATGGTGCTGCAGGAAGATTACCCTGGCTGTGGAGAAGAGGAAGGGGTGGAGGGATGAGCCCTCAGCTGTGAGAGCACAGATCTATTTAAGAGGACTGTCCAGAGTAATGGACATGGAGACAGAGGCGGAGTTAAGGGGGTCCAGAGGTTGGCCAAACAGGCCTGGGTGCCCCACTGGCATTGGCATGAGGTGGTAGGAAGATGCACCACGATCTCCCCCACAGAGCTGATCTCAGCGGGCTACTGAGCCCACTCAATCACAGCAAATTCAGTCACCTACTGTCACTTCCCCCTGGATGGACTTGACAACACACTAAGGGAGCAGGGCGGGTAGGCCCAGGCTGGGGCTCCTCCCTCAGCAAAAGCCTCTGCCTCTGGTCCCCCAAGGCCCCTGCCTCAGTCTAGTCCAAGAGACCCCATTTTCAAAACCAAAGTGTAGGAAAGTCTGCTGGCCTCGTGCTCAGCAGAAATAGGAGAAGGGAAGATGCATGACACAGTTACGGATTCAGGGCTCCGCGAGGCCTGCCAGGACCCGAATAACCACTCCTTCGCGCCCGCCCAGCATGTTACTGATGCCTGTGCAGCCCCTCGGGCAAAACTGCAATAGCAAAGCTCCTCTTGTCCACTCCTTAAGACCCGATGCAGCTTTGTCAAAGCAAGACCTGGAGCGAATCTGTAAAATCGATTTAAGAGCAGATCCTGGCTCCAGCCACCCCATCCCAACCCAGACCACATGTGTCCTGACTCCATCCCATGACTCTGATCCCTTGCATCCTTTCAGTTTCTTCATCTCTAGAGGGCCCTGCCTGTTCAGAGGAGGAGTACAACCCACACAAATTTTCTGGAACCCAGCCTGTGTCCAGCCCTGGCTGGCTCAAGGGACATGCGTGAGTCAGGCCCCATGTTGCTCTTTCACTTGCTCTGGGGGTGAGAGGTTGGGGCAGACAGAACAAAACTCGGAAAGAGGGATTGAAACAACAAGCTCTGCTCTGGGGGTCAGGGCTGCTGAAGCTCCCCACATCCCCCACACACACACAACCCCGCTCCATACACGGTGACCCAAGTGATCAAGCCAGCTGACATTTGTTGAATGTTTACTCAAAGCAACTTACAGATCTTACTTCATTTAATCTCTACTAAAAGAGGCAGGCCCTACAACCATCCCCACTAGAAATGAGTAAACTGAGACCCGGAGGCTCCAGTGACTGCCTGAGGCCCCACCCAGGGAAAAAAGGAACTTTTTTTTTTTTTTGGATGGAAAATATAAGGAGTCGGCCGATACCCTAGAGCCCACCAAGAGCCCAGCACCATACTAGGCACCTCAGCTCTTGCCTCCACTCCCCACAAGAGGCCGCCTGCCAGACCTGTTTCTACATCACTGTTGCCTTTTCGGAGAAGAGGAAAAAGGCTTAGAGAACGCAGGCATGAGGCCATAGACGGTGAATTAGCGAGGACTGGAGCCCAGAGAGGCCTGACTCCAGACCATGAGCCTCAGTTTCTTCCCCAGGGTTGGCAGGAGGGTAGGGCTAGAGGAGGAGCTCAGAGGGCTGTCTGCCGGCCTGGGCTCTGAGGCTTTAGGGGCGGGGAGCTCACCTGTGGGCAGCAGTGCCCACAGGGCTTAGTTTCCTCTCCTGGGTCCGCATCCTCCCTTCCCGCCCCCTTCGCGGCGTCGCGGCCCTCCCCGGGGCTAGCAGCCCGCGGCGCCTGCCTCCCTCTCCCCGAGGGCGTGGTGCTCACCTGTACAGGTAGCCCAGCTGCAAGAGGTGCAGCAGCGCCAGGCAGCGACCCGGGGGCTGCGGCGCGTGCAAGCCGGCGGGGTCGGCGCGCAGCCAGAGCCAGCTGAAGAGCTGCAGCGCGACCGAGGCGACGCCCAGCAGCGCCAGCACCAGCGCGGCCCACAGGTAGCGGCCGCTGACCACGTACTGGCCCGCGGCCCACAGGTCGGCGCCCAGGTCGATCAGGAAGGCGGCGGTGCCCCCAAAGCCCAGGACCACGTCCCAGAGGAGCGCGGCGCGGGGCAACCAGGGCATGACCCGCCAGCCGCTCCCCCTCCTCCTCCTCTGGGCTCAGGCCCGCCCTCGGGGCCCGGGGTCGCGGCGGCAGGAAGGAGGCGGGCGCAGCCCTAGGGGCCGCCCAGGGCCCGGGCCTCCTGGGCGGGACTTCCCCGCCCCGCCCCGTCCGGGGAGGAGCGAGGCCCGCGGACCCCGCGGCTGGGGGCGCCCGCGGCGCTGCCCGCGCCCGTCGGCGCCCCGGGAGGCCGGCCCCGCCGCGCCCTAGGGCCGCTGGGCCCGAAGACCGCCCGGCCACTCCGTCCGTCCTTACCCTCCCCGGACTTGTCTTCGCCTCGCTTTGCGATGGAGACGACGGAAGGGCCGGGAGAGCGGCGCCCGCGCTGGGACTGCGACCCCTCGCATCCGCGCGGTCGCAGGACAGCGAGGCCGGTTCTGTTCCCCGACGGCGGGACTTCGCAAAGCGGGTGTGCCTCGAGCGGGCCGAGCGCCCGTGGAGCCCGAGGGCACGGGCCCGCGGGGCGCCCCTCCCTGGAGGCCCACGGTACTACTCGGACCATCCACACGCGGGGAGGCCAGGGTGGGGGGGAACCTGCAAGACCCGTTCACAAACTGCGCAGGGGAGTTGCATTCAGCATTATCCATAGGGCTCCCCCGGCGGCGGTGGCGCAGCGCTTTAGCGCCGCTTCGGCCCAGGGCCTGATCCTGGAGACCAGGGATCGAGTCCGGCCTCGGGCTCCCTGCACGGAGCCTGCTTCTCCCTCTTCCTGTCTCTCTCTCTCTCTCTCTCTCTCTGTGTGTGTGTGTGTGTGTGTGTGTGTGTGTGTGTGTCTCATGAATAAATAAATAAAATCTTAAAAAAAACCACATTACTTCTATGCTAAGAGGAAAGACGCACAGCATAGGATGCTCGATGAGCATTGTTTTTCCTTTTTTTTTTTTTTCTTTTTTTTTTTGAGCATTGTTTTTCCAGTGAAACTTTTAAACTCCGTGCCGAGGTGGGGAGGGGGGGGTTCTCCGGGCCTGGTCCCCGAGCGGCGGCTGCTCCGGGCCGGCCCCGGGTCACCGCGGCAGCAGCGCGCGCAGGCCCAGCGGCGCCGCGAGCAGGAGCGCGAGCCGGGGCGCGGGCGCGGTGCCGGGGGCGCGCAGGCAGGCGGCGTACGCGTCGAAGGCCACCTCGCGCAGCGCGCACACTTGCTCGGCGTGGCAGGCCTGCTCGCAGGCCGAGGGTTCGTAGCTGACCGAGTTGTAGACGTAGTAGCGCTGCAGTGCGCGGGGGTCGCTGGCGATGCGGCCCAGCGCCGCGTGCATGGAGCGGGCGCCTGCGTCGGGCACCCCGTAGGCCTGGGTCAGCCGGTACTCGAGCTCCCAGAGCGGGGTCCCCTGCGCGTTCGCCTGGCTCAGGTTCACAAAGTAGGTCACCATGTCCTGGAGGGAGGGCGCGGGGGAGGGCAGGCCGTGAGCAGCTGGCAGCTTTCACCCCCACAATCCCGCACCTCGCATTTGCCCCCAGATTCTTTACAGCTCCCACAATGCCGGCCTTCGGTTAGCATTTCCTACTTACCGGGTAGGCCCGCTATGCCGATGAGGGAACTGACCTTATGACCCCCATTTCATAGATGGGCAAACTGAGGCCTAAGTGGTTAATTCATTTGTCCAGGGCCCTACAGGTGTTTAGTGGCAGGGGTGGGGTCTGGAATCCAGGTTGCTAACCCCGCGGCGGCCTCCACATGTTCTGTCCCAGGTACCCAGAGAAGCTCAGTAAATATTTACAGAAGTAATGGATAAAAAGCCACTTGAAGAAGCGGGATGGGGTGCCCGGCTGAAAGAGGTTGTGGAATTGTGCTTGAGGAGGGTTTGGGATCGCATGTATCTTCAGAACTAGACTCTGGAAAGGTTGATCTGTTTGTTCCCTGCTTTCCACTTAACCTTTGTGGACCTGCCTCAGGTCACTAGAAGTGGGGTAGGAAGAGCTGCCTGTATGGATGGCAGCTTCCCCGTAGGCACGTTACATTATTTTAGCGGGTCCTCTCCAAACCCTGGGAGGTACTGTTACTTCCGTTTTACAGATGAGTGGAGGCGGCGGGAAGAGGTCAAAAATCTCATGAGTGGTGGAGCCAGGATTCAAACCCTCTGACTCCCTCCCTGAGAAGGATGTAGGGCATGTTGGGGGTGGGGGGCGTGGGGAGCCAGCCTGGGATTCCTCTGCTGAGGCCCTCTGAGTGCCCATGTGGTCAACAGGCCACACTCTTGAAACATGTCAGACCTCTACATGCACACTGACTCTAGAATCAAGGACCTGACCTGGCTTACCTCATCCAGTCCCTAGTTTTATTTTTTTTTTAAGATTTTATTTATTTATTAAATAAATAAGACAGACACAGAGAGTCAGAGACACAGGCAGAGGGAGAAGCAGGCTCCTGCTGTAGGGAGCTCCGTGCAGGACTCGATCCCAGGTCTTCAGGATCACACCCTGGGCTGAAGGCGGTTCCAAACCGCTGAGCCACTGGGGCTGCCCCAGTCCCTAGTTTTAAATGTCCTCCCTCAACAACTGGATTAAACCTCCACACCCACCTCTTCCTGGGCATCCAGCTGGAATACCCAGCTGCCTCCTCAGCTCAGACATTTTCACTAAGACACCATTTAGACCTTCCAAAGTAAACAGGTCCCAAACCAGACTTCTGTTCCTCCTTCTGAAACCTGCTCCCCCCACAGTGATCCCATTTCAGTAAAGGGTGGCTTCACCCTTCCAGGCACCGAGGCCAAAACCTTGACTCCTCTCTTTCTCTCACACCCTCATCCAGGCACCAGCAAATCCTGTCTTCGCGGCCTTCAGCCTACATGCAGGATCTGAGGCATCTCACTGCCCCACTGCCACACCCTGGCCCACACCACCGTCTCCTCTCAGTGGTTATTGTGGGGTCACCCCCTAACTCATCATCACCCCCGTTTCTGCCCTTGCCCCCTACAGCCTGTTCTCTGCATAGCAGACAGGGTGGTTTTCTAAAATTCTAAGCCAGAATATTTGCCCCAAACCCTCCAGATCCAGAGTCCTAATCATGACTGACAGGATCTCGTCCCTCCACTCTCCCTTTGGGGCCTTCCTCTGCAGCCACAGACCTTGCTCTTCCCTGACACACCACGCATGTTCCCACCCAGGGCGCTCTAGTCTTGCTCTTTCCTCCACCTTCCCCAGATCCTCACCTGGTTCCCACCCTCAATTTACTCAGAATTCAAATGTCACCCGATTGGTGGCACTCCAGTCCCACCGACCTCACAGCATGCACGTGCATGTGCCACACACCCGACAACAAGCCCGCTTGCCTCCTCACTCTGCTTTGTCCTTAGTGCTTCTTTCCATGCCATGCTTAACTTTCCTTTATTATTTATTGTGTGCCTCCTGTAAGAATGTCAGCTGCGGGAAAGCTGTTCACTTCTCTAACTCCTGAACCCAACCTGGCTCATGGTAGATGCTTATAGCACATTTTGTTGAAAAAGTTACGAGGGATCCCTGGGTGGCGCAGCGGTTTGGCGCCTGCCTTTGGCCCAGGGCGCGATCCTGGAGACCCGGGATCAAATCCCACGTCAGGCTCCCGGTGCATGGAGCCTGCTTCTCCCTCTGCCTGTGTCTCTGCCTCTCTCTCTCTGTGACTATCATAAATAAAAAAATAAATAAAAAGAAAAAGTTACGGAATGCTATTTCTTCGCCATTTCAAAAATCACAAGCAGTTCCCAGGAGATGAGGGATTGCTTGATGAGTTAGGAGCCTGCTTTGGCTGAGGCCTAGTCGGTGCAGGCATGAGGTAGGCAATGGGCATGAGGTCATACTGTGGGAGGTCTTGAATACCAGGCCAAAGAGATCCAGCTTATCTGTGGGCACTGGGGAGCCACTGAAAGTTTTTGAGCAGGAGAGAGAAAAGGCTTTAAAAAGATTAGTGCCTTCTGTAGTATGGAGTAGATGAGCTATGACAGGGCAGGGCTAGAGGTAGGAAGGCCAGGTAGGAGGCTGTGATCTGGGGTGAAGGAAGATCTGGGGACCAAGAATTGACCTGACTTGGTTGCAGAATTTGGAGTGGCTCAGGGGTTCTAAACCCAAATTCTAGAGGAGAGTGGATCAGCTGGAAGGAGTTAGGCAAGACGGTAAAACATTCGGTCCCTCCCCATCCTCCCGCTCTGGCCCCAGCAGACCCAGGGCCCCTCACCTGCAGGCTCAGTGTGGCTCGGTCGTATTCAAATACCCGGATGCCTGGATTGTTGGACCCGTTGACCACGCCAGGTAAGGTGGTTTTCCAGGGGGTGACTCCAGGTGTAAGGAACATGACACTGATGGGGGCACCTTTCAGGAGAGAGATAGCAGGCCTGAGAGCCTGGCAAGAGTGGGAGGGGGTGGGCTGGCAGCTGTCCTCCTCATCGAGTACCTGCATCATCATAGAACATCCGGAAGCTATCGGTGTGTTGGTGCCCGAAGAACTGCCCTGCGATGACTCGATGGTGCTTCCTGACCACCTTCAGGTATTCCGCATTGAAGCTCTCCCGGAACCACGCTTTGTTCCGTGTCTTCTCAAAGAATCCCGGGGGCACGTGGCCGACAATGTACACCTGCAAGGATGGGGTGGCCCAGGGGGCTCAGGGATGCTCAAAGCTACCCCCAGCCCACTCCCGGGGCAGATTCCAGCACTGAGTACCCAGCCATGGCTTTCCCCCATGTGGTTCCCACCTCTGTACTTTTGCCCGTGCTGAGCCTGCCACCTGGGGTACCCTGCTCTTTTTCACAGGCTGTGACAAGGACAGGAGAAGCCCCCTCCCGGGGCCAGGCTGATGAAGGACCCTCCGTGAGCTAGGCACCTCGTGCGAGAGGCTGAGGTCGAACAGGGGTGGGAGACGTGTTCAGAGTCCACCCCAGAGAGGTAGCAGGTGGAGGCAGGAGCCTTACCATCTCCTTAGCTCGGGATGCGTTGGTCAGCACCTCTTCTAGCCACTGGAACTGCTGGACGGGGTCCACCATGCCAGCTGTCTGCTCGTTGTTGCTGTAGTACAGATTGGTGTTGAGGACCACGACTCGCCCAGCGCCACTCAGTCCTGGCAACTTCTCGGAATAGAAGGCACCTAAGGTGTCACAGCCAGAGAGCATCTGAAGGGCCGGCCCCCTGCCTCTGATGAGACACGCTTCTGTGTCCCTCCCCGTCACTCCCACCTCCTCCTGCCCTTGCATCCCCTCTTCCCATCGTCCCCATAGGAGGGGCATGTGAGCAAGACCAGGGGCTCTGGAGGCCCGCTGCCTAGGCTCAAGTCCTGACTCTAGCACTTATTAGCTGTGCAGCTTGGGAAAATCTTTACTTCACCTCTCTGGGCTTTGGTTTCTTACTTTCTATAATGTGCATTACAATAAGATGCATTTGCCCCTGCAGATCCACCATCAACCCTGTTCACTCAACTCTCTGTGGACTAAATCAGCAGGCCTCTGGGTGGGTTTGACCAGTGGGGACTGAGGACAGGGTCACCTTGGGCTGGCTGTGTCTCTGATCAGTGGTTCTCAGCCACTGATTTTGTCCCCCAGGGAATATTCGGCAGTGTCTGGAGAAATTTTTGTATTGGCAATGGAAGGTGTTACTGTATCCAGTGGTTACTCATATCTAGCATCCATGAATCCCCTAAGCATCCTACAATGCATAGGATGGCCCCCACAATGAATTATCTGGCCCAAGATGTCCCTCGGGCCAAGGGTGGGAAACCCTAGCTGAACTGGAGGTGACTGCTGCCCCTTTGTTTCCATGAGGAGTTTTGGAATATGTTGAGAGTAGTGCCTGGCACCAGCAAATGCTCAATAAACATTCACTTATGATCCCCAGTGCCGTGGAGAGCACGGGCAGTGGAGTCAGCCCTGGATTCTGCTCTCAAGTAGGCCACCTCTAAGCTGGTCGACCTAGGCCAAGGGACTCGACATCGTCGAGCCTCTGTCTCCTTTTCTGTAAACTGGGGATAAAATCAGTACCTATTTCCTGGGGTCGTTGTGAAGACAATTCGACCAGACCCTGGCAGACAAGTAGGTGCTTCTAGTTGCAAATGGTGCTAGTACCTTGTTTGAAGAGAGCGATGGATTCCTTACTGAGCCAGGGTGCCCACAGTTCCGCTACCTGATTGTAGATGTTGTTGTTTCCTGGTGGGAACTGATTTTTAGGGTGAAAGTCATGATTTCCCAGAGCAGCGTAGACTTTGGTATCTGGGAGGAAAAAGAGACATATAAATATATTTATGTGAAAGCGTTTGGGGGGAATTAGTACTTTTTGGTCTGCCACTGGCCATCAAGAACCAAGGGCCATAGCACAAATACAGAGACAGGCAGAGAACAACATTCAGTACAATCTGGCTCAGCATTGCTCAGATCTGGGTAGGAAGAACAGTGAGTTCTCTGATTCCAGCTCCTAACCCCATTCCCAGAGGAAAGTTTCCCGCTTGGAAGGAAACATCAGAGGATGAGAAGAAAGCTAGAAGACCTAAATGATCGTCATATCCCTTGTGAGCCCCTGGGTAATGTGAGCTGCTTGTTCTTAGCAATTCCAGGTCCATTTCCTGTTAAGGAAGGGGTCTGGTTCACTCTGGGAGCCCTAGGAGTTTCACACATTTGTGATTCAACAGGTGTTTATTGAACACCTCGTGGGGACCGATGCGTAGCCCTGGGAACCAGGCACCCAGTCCTAGTCCCAGGGACCTTGCTGGGCTATAGGGTTGACAGGTATTGAGTTAATAGCGGTGTGAGGGCTGTCACAAAAAGGGAAGAGCCACTTGCTGTGGAAGTGTGCAATGGAGATGGGGGGAGGGGGGACAGGGGTCAGAGTAGGAAGTGGCTTGTGGATGACCCCTCAGGGAGGGGAACCCATCAGAGTCACTTCCTCCTTGCCAGGAACCTCATTCCTGCTTTTATTTTACGTCTATGTCTGGCAAGTAGTAGTTGCTCAATAAATATTGGACAATTAACCAAAAAGTCCTCTGAGCTCAGGGCAGGGTTGTGCCCTTTCATGAGCTTGGCATTCCCCAGGGAGTGACCTTGAACCAATGAGGGAGGCTGGAGCCTCTAATTCCCACTTGGGAAGTTTTCACAAACTTTTTGCCCCGCGGAGCCTACAAGATCTGGGAGTGCTGAAAGCTCTGCAGAAGGAGGAGGTTGTAACATTCCCATCAGGAATCGTTGCAAACCCAGAAGCCATCTCCATAACGGCCCCGAAAAACCTCACCCCTTTTACATACATGCCACTAGCTGGTAGCCCTTAAGAATCCATTTAGAGCAGCCTGGGTGGCTCAGTGGTTTAGCGCCACCTTCAGCCCAGGGCCTGATCCTGGAGACCCAGGGTCGAGTCCCACGTCAGGCTCCCTGCAATGGAGCCTGCTTCTCCCTCTGCCTATGTCTCTGCCCCTCTCTCTATCTGTATGTCTCTCATGAATAAATAAATAAATTTAAAAAAAAAAAAGAATTCATTTAGAGGGACACCTGGGCTGCTCAGTCAGTTAAGATTCAGACTGGATTCAGCTCAGGTCATGATCTTGGGGTCATGCTCAGCAAGGAGTCTGTTTGAGATTCTCTTTCTCTACTCCCCCCCATGCTAAAATATAAATAAATCTTGAAAAAAAAAAAAAAAGAATCCATTTAGAAAAAACACAAACCCCTGGAATTCCAAGGACAGATGAGAAGAGAAAGAAGCTCTCCCCTTTTATTGCTGCTGCTTTGTGCTGGGCATGGTGAGAAGCCACCCTACACGCAGAAGCACAACCTGGCATCTAGCTCACAGCCAAGTTCCTTTGATAGCTCCCTCACAGTAGACCCTCAGTAAATACTTTTTGGCTAAATGAGTGAGTGGATTGCTTTACTGAATCCTCACAACAACGTACGGGATGGGTACCATTATTTTCCTCCTTCTGCGCAGACAGAAAATGGAATCTCTGGGGCATGGCCCCCCTGGAACTGATAAGCCTGAGTCAGGAGCAGGCTCAGTTTGCCTAGTGCACCTGTGCACACCACTCAGCCGTGCTGGAGCAGATGGGCCAGCGCTCACGGTGACTCTGATGGGAAAAGCAGGTAGTAGGCACATGGCAGAAAGATCACATGACACATGACGTGGACCCTAGATATCAACTTCCAGTCCCTTCCTCCTCTCTAACAATTTGCTTTGACTTCTCTGTGATTCGGCTTATTTATAAAATGGAGAGTGTTCTGCATGGCCTGTGTTGCTATAACTCTCAAATAAGATAATATCTCATTTCAGTGCTTCTCCTATGTTCTTATTTTGATGTCCCTGTAGGTGGGCTGTGACTTACCCCTGAGGCCATGAGAGAGCGCCGTCATACCTTAACAAGCATGTTTTTCTGAGCAATACCTAAAATAATGATGCACGTTGCAGTTGATGGCATGTTGGATATTAGGAAATTCAGTAAAAATGTGCACATGTGTAATAAACTAGAGGATCTTCTAATTGACATCTGCGTGTGAACTCATAGTAATGAGCATGTAAAGCATTTTCTTGTCCACTATTTCCCTTCTATTCCGGAAGCCCATGTGGAGCAGAGGAAGGAGTGCTCAGAGTTGGATCTGAGTTTGAATCCCTCCCTAGAAACTGACTAGATTTGAGCCCCAGGTGCCTTAGCTACACATCCAGACAACTCTGCATGAAATGATTCACGTCCAGGGAAGGAGGTGGCAGAGAGAAGGTTGCCTCGAGGACAGATGTGGGATGGTGACAGCAGAGCAGGGCCCCTCCTACAGCGGCAGCGGGAGTGATGGATAAGAGTGGTGCTCAAACCAGGATTTGTGTCGCTGCCCTTGGCACATGACTTTGACCAGTTTACTTGACTCCCAGGGCTCACATTTCTCACCAGTAAAATTGAAATCCTAATAGCACTTCTCTCCAGGAGCATCACGACAATGAAGGAGCCACAGCATATAATATTTTGAGAGCAGTGCCTGCCACTTAGCACTCAGTACACAGACACATGTAGTTACTGCTGCAGCGATGACTTATTATCATTAATCTATATCTGGGTCCTGGGAATCCGGGAGTAAGACCTTTAGAGGACGCAGAGGTGCCGCAACTCGGAGGAGGTAGGGCTGGGGGCTAGCGGGCTGCTCTGACCGGCCCCCAACTGGCAGCCTGAGAGCCTGAGTCAGTCCCCAGCACCCTGTGTTTGGCCCAGTCTGCTTAAAAACATTTTGGGGGGCCTTTTGATGGGGCGTGCAGATCCCGCTCTCCTTGTCAGGTCCCATGGGACTGCCTCCCTCATCACCCACAGGCTTTGCCTGCTTTCCTGGGCCCTGGAGACCTTGGGAGCGCCAAGAACGGCACCTTGGCTGGAAAGGAGCATCTCCCAGAGGCCCCAGGAGCCGGGGTGGTTTGAGGGCGGTGAGTGGGAGCTCCGGGAGCAGAGCAGGACACAGGGCTATGTGCGTGAGTCCCTGTGAGACCCAGCAGGCCACCGCGCCTCCATGCAGCTGCAGGTGCTCTGGGAAGGGCTGTGAGCCCGTGTAAAACAGGCTGGGGCAGAGGGCAGTGAAGGTCAGGCGCTCCCCTTAGTAGGAACCTGCGTGTAAACACAGGCCGGGGATGGCTCGTGTTCCTCGCAGGGTTGTCCAAAGCGGAGGAACCATCCATCTCTGTGAGGAGCCTGGCCCGGGGCCTGGCCAGCAGCCAGCATGGTCAGTGGTTGAAGGTTCTTTCCCCACATCTTACCGCTGTTGCTGCTCCACCTTCTGGAAATGCTGGGGTTGGGGGGGGGAGGGTGAAGGGGGAGCACGAGGGCAGGGTCTTACCTGGAAAGACCTCTCTGATGAGCCTGGTCAGGCGCCCCACAATTCCCAGCACAGCTGCTTCTCCCAGCCTCTCGTTGGGCACATGAGGGGTGTTATCACTGCAAAACACCACCGAGCCAGTTTGGTGTGGGCAGCTCAGGAAGGGGCACGAGACAGGAAAGGGGCAGCTCAGCCATGAGAAATGGGCTGTGGAACTGCCCCTCAGACACCCCCTGTGAGGCAAGGGCTGGCCTGGAGGCAGGGGTCATGCAGGACAGAGTTCAAACCTGGGCTCTGCCGTTGACCTGCTGTGGGTCCCTGGCCTGGCTGCTTAACCTCTCTGAGCCTCGTGATCTCGTCTGCCAAATAGGGGTGATAATGGTACCTACTCCTAGAGTATGTGTGAGATTTTTTAAAAAGGCAAGGGAGGATTTTTTAAAAAGGCAAGGGGAGGATATAAAATGTAGACTCATGGAACCACTTTCTTCCTTGCAAAGAGCATATTTCCCAGGCAGCTATCCTATCTTGGGCTCAAATAAAACTCTTCTCCTTTCTCTTTAAAAAATAAATAAAAATAAAGTAAAATAAAAATAGTAGCTGCTAGGTTGCAATTAATATTATTATGTAAAGAGGGAAGCTTGGGGATTGGCAAACCCCCAGGGACCTTGGGGTGGAAAAGCCATCTCTGAGTCCCGCTCTGTATCCCAAGGGTTCTAAGGAGTTTGGAACTGGCTTCAGAGCTTAGAGTTCATCCTACTCTATGGACAGATCCAGGACCTGCCCCAGGACCATTTAATCCCCTGTTTGGCCCTAAATTCCTGCCTCCAACTCAGAAATGCACAACAACGGGCACATGGATTGCTCAGTCATTTAAGCATCCGACTCTTGATCTCAGCTCAGGTCTTGATCTTAGGGTCATGAGTTCAAGTCCCACATTGGGCTTTAAAAAATTGCACAGCAAGGGCAGGGAGCAGGGGAGGAGTAAGGGGAAAGGTGAAGTGTGGGATGGGTAGGAGCCCCAACAATCTAAAGTCTGAGGACCTTGCTGGACCCAATGGGGTGAAGCAGCTGCTGCCTCGATAGCCCCCACAGAAGTTAATTAGCATAGTAGTGCTGATACTGTTACTAGCAGCTCACCCTGGCTTGCTTTGTGCAGGGATGTGTTGTACCTACATCTCCTGATTACTTATCCATGATAGCCCCCTAGCGTGGGTTCGATTGTTAGTCTTATTTGATGAAGAAACAAGGCACAGAGAGGTGGAGAATTCTGGGTAAGCTGTGGAACCAGAAAGTGGTGGAGGCTGGCTCCAGTCAGTGCTTGCCCGCAGTACACACTGCTCTGTCTCTGACACACTCCCTAGGGCCCCAAGAGGCACCTATTCACTCTGGCCTCCCTAGGGACAGGCCAGCAGGTCCAAAGACAACAAAATTCACCACCCCCTCCCCTTTGTTTTCTAGTTTGGAGGATCTAATTCTTTCTTTTAGAAAACGCTTCCAGTTTCTACAGCCTACCCCTAAGGGATTGCAATTCATCCAGAGAAGTTAAATTTTTAGGAATTGGGGGATCCCTGGGTGGTGCAGTGGTTTGGCGCCTGCCTTTGGCCCAGGGCGCGATCCTGGAGACCCAGGATCGAGTCCCACATCGGGCTCCCGGTGCATGGAGCCTGCTTCTCCCTCTGCCTGTGTCTCTGCCCCTCTCTCTCTGTGTGACTATCATAAATAAATAAAAATTAAAAAAAAAAAACTTTTTAGAAACTGAATTATAAAAGGTCCCAAAGGTCATCTCATTCAACATGATACACCTCCTCTAGGTGTCAGAGATTTCTAGAAAACATGATGTTTCTGTGGAAGGATGTGAATATCCCAAAACAGTCGCCTTTCCCAGAGGGATCATGACTTTCAGAGTGTTACGTGTTCCTCCCAGGGCCCCTCCTTGGAAAATCCAGAGGCTGCCGGAGCAAGATCCCTTTAGGAGGGAGAGTTCAGGGTCACAGCCTAAAGCTCACTCTCTTCTTACGCTGGTTCCTGAGCCGCCAAAGCCCCTCCTGAGACACTGTCACATTTCTGAAGTGTCCAGCCTTGCAGCCTCCCGCTGCCGACCACAGGGTCCATCTGAGGGTCATTCCCGGTCACTCCTACACCAGACCAGCAGACAGTTGGGGGCAGGATGGGTTTGATCCTGTCCTGTGCAAGTGTCCATGGAGGCTGGACGAGGGAGCAGGAAGTCAGAGCGCCTGCCAACCTTCCCCCCTAGCTCCCTGGTTGCCACTTCCTGTGAGAAGTCCTCCCCCAACCAGCCGGATGGAGTCAGGTGCCCTGGAAAAGCTCCCACACCCCCAGTGCCCCCCTGTTTCCTGGCAGGGATATGATGGTCCATGCGTTTGTCTGTAACGCCAACAAGACCGGAGCTCCAGGTTTCTTTCATCTCAGTTCCCCAGTGTCTACCCAGGGCTGAGCACCAGACAGGCCACCTGCCAAGGGAGGGAGAAAGGAGCCGGGACCATGAGTGACAAGGACAGCCAGTTCTGAGGGAAGCTGGAGGACTCACAGCAGCATTCTTGGATGAGGAGCAGAAATGGAGTCTGGCTGAGTAGAAATCACCCCACAAGCTATCCTCAGCAGAGCAGTGCTCTGACCGGTGAGAACCCCCAAGGCCAGGGCAGCCAGGACACTTGGTGCCAAAGCCAGGACCACTTTCAGCCTCCCTCCCTTCTTCCCTCCCTTCATGTGGATCTCTAGGGCTTAGAGTCCCTAAACCCTGGTGGGAATGACCCCAGTATTCATTCCCCTGACTTAAAATCTAGGAGTTCTCGGGGCACCTGGGTGGCACAGTCTGTTAAGCCTCTGATTCTTTTTTTTTTTTTTTTTTAAGATTTTATGTATTCATTCATGATAGACACACAGAGAGAAAGAGACACAGGCAGAGGGAGAAGCAGGCTCCATGCCGGGAGCCCGATGTGGGACTCGATCCCGGGACTCCAGGATCGTGCCCTGGGCCAATGGCAGGCGCTAAACCACTGAGCCACCCAGGGATCCCCAAGCCTCTGATTCTTGACTTCAGCTCAGGTCATGACCTTAGTGTCAGGGGATCAAGCCTCAGTGTGGGACTCCACCCCGGCTGGGAGTCTGCTGGGGGTTTTCTCTCTCCCTCTCCCTCTGCCCCTCCCCCTACTTGTGCTCTCCCTCTCCCCGCCTCTCAAATAAATAAATAAATATTTAAAAAAATAAAATAAAAGCCAGAAGCTCTCCAGATACCAGATGTGCCATGACTGCGTCCCCAGCCTCAGAGAGAGGTGCGTTCTGCTAAGGCTAGGAGACACAGAGTCAAGGGCACAGGCTGTGGGGCCAGCCAGGCCCACTGTCCCTTGGGCAGGTTGAGCCTCACGTGCATCCTCTCTGAATCGGGAGTAAGGGGGACAGGGTGGGGAGGGTGCCAGGCCAGCAGGTGGCACACAGCAGCGGCCCGGTGAACTACAGCCCTTGTGACTGCTCTCACCCAGTCCAGAGGATGAAGTCTGGCTCCGGCTCAATCTCTTTCATGGCGTAGATGGAGGAGTTGATGAGGACCCAGGGGGAGTCACAGAGGTAGTCACCCCAGGGGCCTGCGTTGGGCACCGGTTGCAAGCCAGCCGATGGGCACACCTGGAGGGGGTCTTCGGATACCTTGTAGTCAGGGTCAAGGTGCAGGTCAGATATGTGCCAGAACTTCCCTGCAGGGGAAAGGAGACCCTTTTAGATGCTGGTACCTCCCTGAGCCTGGACGGGGAGGAAGCCCAGGAGGGGTCCTGGGCTGGAGAAGAGCTGCAAATGTGAAAGGAAGTCTCCTCAGAAGCCAGGGTTCAGAGAGAAAGAGCCACAGGTCTGACCTTGTCCAGGGAAGGCACTGAGAGGAGCAGAGAAAAAGCCTGGCTCTGTTCCTGACCTGTGACCTTTGACCCTTTCCATTTCCCCACCTCAGGGGACCCAGCAGCACAGGGAATTGGACTTCATGACTCTCAAAAGAATCCTTTGGGGCTTCTAAGCAGAGTGCTTATTTGAAAGCAAAGTGTAAGGAGTGTCACCGTTAAGCACTCAAGCTCTGGAGCCACCTACAAGCTGTGTGACCTTGGGTGACTCGCTGCACCTCTCTGAGTCCAGAACTGAAGCCAGATCTTCTCAGGCTACAGGGAAATACATACAAAAATCTGACCTGGGAGAAGGTTTTCAGCACCAATTGCATTGCAAGGTCTTGTGAATTAATACCAGCAAAGGCCTGGGGAACGTGTGTGGAGATGGAACTCAAGAGTGCTGGACAAGAAAAGGAGGAACACAACTTCAGATTGGGCTGAACTTCTTGGGCGTGTAGTGGCTAGCAATTCTGAGTGCAGCTGGGAGTGGTCCACTGAAACTTGGCCTTGCTTCCAACCGAGGGTGGCTAAAATGTCCAAAATCTTTCAGCGTGAGGAGTGCTTGCCTGGCTCAGTCTGAGGAACATGCAACTCTTGATCTCAGGGTTGTAAGTTCGAGCCCCATGTTGGATATAGACATTACTTAAAAATAAAATCTTAAAAAAACAAAAACAAAAAAAAAAACTGGGATTCCTGGGTGGTTCAGTGGTTGAGCGTCTGCCTTCGGCTCAGGTAATAATCCCGGGGTCCTGGGATCAAGTCTTGCATCGGGCTCCCCTCCCTTCAGGAAGCCTGCTTCTCCCTCTGCTTATGTCTCTGCCTCTTTCTCTGTGTCTCTCATCAATCAATAAATACAATCTTAAAAAAAAAAAAAATCTCTTGGTGTGATGGAGAGAAAGGAATCCAAACAAAGAAACAGTTCCCATGGGGTGGATTTGTCATCTGAACCCAACACAGGGCCTCAGATAAGTAGTTACAACAATGCTTATTGAACAGGTTTAGGTGCTGCCCTAAATCCTGTGGTTTTGGCTAAGACAAGGGTAAGGCCTGGGACTTCCTCCCCGTCCATCATTGCTGTCACTTCCTCCTCCATTTCCTGTATCACTCAGTGTTGACAGTCATACCCCCAGCCCTGCCCCCAGCCCAGCAAATCCCTGCCTGGGCCTGGGAGTCCCAGCTTCCCAGGGTTGCCTTCAAGGTTGGAAAGACGGGAACCACCCAAGCCACAGAACACTCAGCGTGGCCCTAGGAGAAGTGTGAAGGCAAAGTCCAGCCCCTGATCCTCTCTCCAAGACTACTCACCTCTCCTTATCTAAACCTGGTCCCAGGAAAGGATCAGAAGCTTATTTACATTAAGGTGCAAATGACCGATTAAGTAAATCATGATCCCTCCCAAGGTCATTCATTACACAGTCACCACAGCCCTGAAGGTACAGTTGACCCTGGGACAATGCAGGTTAGAGGCACCAACCTCCATAGTCAAAAATCTGTGCATAGCTTATGACTTCCCCAAAATGTAACAGTAATAGCCTACTGTTGACCAGAAGCCTTTACTGACAACATAAACAGTCGATTAACACATATTTTGTATATATATTATATGCCGTATTTGTACAATGAAGTAAGTTAGAGAAAAAATGTTACTAAGAAAAATCCTAAGAGAAAATACATTATAGTACTGGGTTTATCAAAAAAATCTGTGTATTAGTGAACCTACGCAGTACAAGGTTGTGTCGTTCAAGGGTCAACTACATTGATCATCATCCCAATTTTGCAGATAAGGGAACTAAGGCTAAGATGTCAACCTTCTGAGATCACACGGTAAACAGAGGGCGGCGTGTGGTTCTCAGTGTTCTCCCAGGAAGATGTGATTGCTAAGGGAGTAAAAGCAGTGTCTTTTTGTTATTATTATTATTTTTGAAGGAGGCTCCATGCCCAATATGGGGCTTGAACTCATGACCCTGAGATCAAGAGTTCGATGTCTACCGATTGAGCCAGCCAGGGGCCCCAAACCGGTGCCTTTTTTTTTTTTTTTTGATGTGTCTTTTTGTAGACAGCCTATGCCTGCTTGTTTATTTTTTACCCAAACTGAGAGTCTTTGTTTATAATTGGGGGAATGAAAATTTGTCATACCAATTGTGATTAATATATGCGAAATTACTCCTACGGAGACAAAACCCCAAGCCAAAGAAACTAACTGCCCCATTTCAACTAGTAAATGGGCAGAGTTGGTGGGTTTTCCTGAGCCCCTGCACAGAAACTGAAAGGGGGTGCACCTGCTTCCAAGCCTGAGACCGGCTGGCCAGGTCAGATGCAGCGAGAGGCCCTTCGCCCTTCTCTCCGGAGTGTGGTGCCCTGGCTTCCTCCCAAGGCCATGCAGAGGCCATTCATTCCCGGGTCTCAAGCAGACTCTTTTCTCAACTAATCCTAAACAGTGAGCGGTTCTGCCCCTTTGATGTCAGCCCTCAAAAAACTCAGTGAATGTTGCTTCACTTCAGAAACTCCTTGTCTGCTGACAGGCTCACACGTCATCAGCTGGCAGGTTCCCTCTTCCCACAAGCTCCAGTCTAGTCGGAGCACAGAACTGAAACTCCTTCCAGCCTCCCCAGGAGTGACGTGTGTGTGCACGTGCGTGTGTGTGTGTGCGTGTGTGTGTCTGTGTGCGTGCCCCAGAGGCCTCCCAGAGCTTCCAGGAGAAGCTACGATAGTGGAAGGAATAGCACGGAGAGCAGAGGCCTCCACCTCCTTGGGCTCTCTGGTGGCTTCATTATGGAGGTAGATCACACAGACCTCACACGGAGCACCTCAGCCCACTCATTCACCTCGCACAGCCTTTTGCCTGGTTCCTCTGCTGCCTAACCCAATCTTCCCCAGGTCAGTGATCCCAAGGCTGCTTTCTCCTCACTCAGGCCTCAACTCAAAGGTCACCACCTCAGAGGAGCCTTCCTTGACAACTTCTTCTCCAGTCCCACCCCTCACCACCCATCTGGTCACTAGCTATCACCTCCTTCGCTTTTATTTTCTCCAGAGCGCTCTCACGTAATGCAACTATCTCGCTGACTTGTTTATCATCCATCTTCCTTGTCTACAGTGTCAGTGCCATGAGCGTGTGCAGCCTGTCTTGTTCACCTCTGTGTCCTCGGCACCTAGAACAGTGCCTGGGGTGTGGAGATGCCCAAACACGTATCCAATGAATGAGCGAGACTGTGGGGAATACACACTCAGAGAATGTGAGCTAGGTGCCCTTCACACGCTCATCTCATTTCATCCTTGCAGCCATTCTGTGAGGTAGGGTTCTTATGCCCATTTCACAGATGAGGAAACTGAGGTTCAAGCCCAGCCCTCTCTGACTCCAAAGCGAGACACAATCAATGTTGACTCAGCCTCCAGAAGATGGCTTTCATAAGACACACATGTTGCCCATCAAACAGTGGGAGCCACAGGCTTCTATGGAATTCGTCACAGACTGTGAGGAATTAAGCTCAAAAACATCATGGAGAAGGAGGTGAATAGAAGGACCCTAAGGGAGGTGAGTTACCTGGTTTCCAATGCAGGCTCCTCGGTGTGTTGGCTGAGGATTCTCTTGTTAGCCTTGCTGAGCCTATAGGTGCTTGACATCTGGCCCGCTTGTCTGCGAGCAGCAAATAAAATAATAAAGAGAAAGGGCTGGTGGAGAAGAATCCCGATACACCTGCTGTCCCTGGCAGCGACCCCTGGGGCCAGGAGAGACTGGGAAGGTGTGGGGAATCAGACCAGAGTTCCTCAAACTTCACTGGGCAGATGCCTCACCTGGGGGTCCCACTAAAATGAAGAGTCTTGGGCAGCCCCAGTGGCGCAGCGGTTTGGCGTCGCCTACAGCCGGGGGTGTGATCCTGGAGACCCGGGATCGAGTCCCACATCGGGCTCCCTGCATGGAGCCTGCTTCTCCCTCTGTCTGTGTCTCTGCCCCCCTCTCTCTGTGTCTATGAATATATAAATAAAATCTTTAAAAAAAAATAAAAAATAAAATGAAGAGTCTTTATATATCCATCCTGCCTGAATCTTTTACAATAAGAAAGTATTCATGAGTTCCTTCAGTTTTAGGAAAAGGTGTATCAGTCTTAGCTGTCATTATTGTTCATTAACCATGGAGACTATGAATAAATTTGGTACCAATTACAGCGAGTGGTTGAGAGCACGGAATTCCAGCTCCATTGCCCACTAGCTGTGTGAGCATGAGCAGTTCTGTGCCTCAGTTTCCTCATCTGTAAAAGGGGGACTACAGTGCCTCCTACCTCTCAGGGTCCATGTGAGGGTTAATTGAGATAGTGCCAAGGAGGAGATACTGCTGAGGCACTCAACACTGCGAAACAGCAGGTACTCAGAATTTGATTGGGGGGGGGGGTGTCCTGCAAGTCCCCCTTTCACCTTGGGAGGGAGATGGGATGAGGGGGGGAGTGGCTGCAACCTTCCCCCTGTCGCCCCAGAGTCCCCTTAGCTACTGTCCTCTGCAGATAAAGCGCAGATCCAGGGCCAGAATTTGAAGCAGAACAATGTGAAGATAGATCCTGTCTCCTCCTGGATGGCCCTCCTTGAGCAAAGGGCTGGTGGCCACAGTCCTCCCTCTAGTTTAAAATTTGAGAGTTCAGGGAGGCACCCGGGTGGCTCAGTCAGTTGGGCATCCAGCTCTTGGTTTCAGCTCAAGTCATAATCTCAGGCTCGAACCTGAGATCGAACCCATGTTGGGCTCCACGCTCAGAGTGGAATCTGCTTGTCTCTCTCCCTCTGCTCCTCCCCCTGCTCACTTTTTCCCTCCTCCTAAACTAAATAAACAAAATCTTTAATAAAATAAATTTTGAGAGCTCAGTTCTGCTTCCCATCCCTGGGCAGGCAAAACAGTCTCCTGGTCTTCCTTCTCCATCACCAAAGGGTCACCAGGCCTCCTTGTCCACAGGAGACAACAAATATAGGGGCTAGGGCCTTGTAGCCTTGTAAGGCACAGGGGAATGTTTGAGAGCTGAAAAAAAAAATGCATTGGCTCCCAAGTTCAGGGAAAAAAACAATACCATCAAAAATCAATAATTCATTTTAAAAACAGTAATGTAGGGACACCTGGGTGGCTCAGTGGCTGAATGTCTGCCTTTGGCGCAGGGCGTGATCCCGGGGTCCTGGGATCGAGTCCCGAGTCGGGCTCCCTGCATGGAGCCTGCTTCTCCCTCTGCCTGGGTCTCTGCTTCTCTCTGTGTGTCTCTCATGAATAAATAAAATCTTTTAAAATTTAAAATAAAGTAAAAAAATAAAAAATAAAAAAATAAAAAAAATAAAATTTAAAATAAAGTAAAATCATATAATGTTAGATTCTTTAACTATGATGCCTGATAGGGGGAGGGAGACTTGCAAAAATAATTCCTAGAGCCTAACAAGGTCTTAAACTGGCCAAAAGATGAGTCTACCTACAGTTGGAGGCAAGAAAAGGAAGGCAGAAAGACACCTGCCATTCATTTAGCGCCGTACTGAATGCCAGATGTTGTGCCAAGCACTCTACCCATGCACTCTACTCATGACAAAATTATGAAATATATTCTATTATTGTACCATTTTATAGATGAGGAAAGTGAGCTAGCTAGTGGCAGACCTGTGATTTGCATCGTGTCAGAGCAGAAATGATCACAATGCACTTTACTCTGTCGCTAGCAAGCAGTGTGACCTTGGATATTTAAGAAAAAAAAAGATCCCTTAAACTTTAACAGCACATTACAATATGTGTGTATGATCCCACTTAACTATCATTATTTAATCTCTACTTTATCATTATCCTATTTTACAGATAATGACATAGAGGCTCAAGATCACATAGGTATTGAAAGGTAGGACCCAGGTTTTCTGGCTTATGGCAGCAGGTTGTTTTGGAAAGGGCATGCATGGAACTTGGAATAAGGGAAATCTGGTTTTGAACCTTGACTCTTCCACATTGGAAATGGCAACTTGAATGAGAGATTTCCCCAGCTGAGTCCCAGTTTCCTCATCTGTAAAATGGGCATAATGATGACAGTAATAAAGGCGTGGATGAGAGGAGTGATCTCAGATGGAGCCCCTGGCCACGTGGTGGACAAGCCAGCGTGGGTGCATATTCTGGGCCACTGTGTCCCTCAGGCCTCAGTTTTTCTTCTTTTCTGGAGCCTCTATTCCCTGGAGCGTAGGATGAAAGTCTTGCACAAAGTTATTTGAAGGTCCTGCTGGTTCTAATGCTCGGTGATTCCATGACTTTTCTCTCTTATCGTGTATAACCCACATCACAAGGCGATCCTGGTCTCTATTTTAGTCTTTTGCTTTTGACCCTGGGCAATAACCCTCCTCCCCTATAAACTCCCCTTTCAGGCCCTCTGAAACACAGAAGATTCCCTTGTTAAATCCAACATTGACCCCTAGCGTTACGTCCATAGATTGCTCTCTCTTCACATGACAGCCCCATAGGCTTTATTCTTGAGGGAAACGTTTGCCTCCCATGCTGACCCTGCCTGCCACCAACTACCTCTACCAGAGGGCTGGTTCTTACGCATGAACTCTTAGCAAAGTCAGTATCCCTCGCCTGGTCAGGTCTGGCCTCCACTTAAAATCTTCAGGCTCCAGACACCTGAGTGGCTCAGTTTTTGAGCATCTGTCTTTGGCTCAGGTCATGATCCTGGGATCCCAGCATTGAGTCCCGCATCAGGCTTCCTGTGGGAAGCCTGCTTTTCCCTCTGCCTATGTCTCTGCCTCTCTGTGTGTGTCTCTCATGAATAAATAAATAAAATATTTAAAAAAAAATCTTTAGAGACACCTGGGTAGCTCAGCAGTTGAGTATCTGCCTTCGGCTCAGGGCATGATTCCGGGATCTGGGATCGAGTCCCACATCGGGCTCCTGGCAGGAAGCCTGCTTCTCCCTCTGCCTGTGTCTCTGCCTTTCTCTCTCTCTCTGCCTTTCTCTCTCTCTCTCTCTCTCGCTCTCTGTCTTTCATGAAGAATACATTTTTAAAAACTTTAGGCTCAAAGAACACCCCCACCACTCACTAAGTCTCTTCCTGACCTCCCTGCTTCCTGCCTTGCTATTTTTAAGCAGCACTTTCAGCATTCTTTGGGCAGCTTCCAGGAGCCACGGATCCCAAGGTCATAGTACAAAATGAAGGCACTTGCAGCACCTACCTGGTTCAGCTCTGGCAACTCCCCAGTGGGCCAGGAAAATTAGCAGCTTGAGCAGCCTCATCCTTGGGGCTCACTTTCTAAGGGAGCCCCTGGATTCTCCAGGAACTGTAGATGACACTACAGGTTTCCTCTCTGGGTGCTTGTGGCCATGGGCCCAAGCAGAAGTTTCCGTCCTATTTCCCTGTGTGCCCAGTCATCCGAGGCACTGCTTCCTCTGGCTTTTCCTCCTTTGCCTGGCAGGGTGTGAGCTGGGCTTGCCCAAGAAGACGCACCAGCCAGGCCTCTGAACTCTGAGGTAGAAAGCAGCACTTGTCCTGCCTGTTCCTCAGAGCACGTCTGTCCAGACAGCAATCAGATTCCCCAGGAAACTGGCCCAGCCCCAATCACTGAGCAGCAAAATTATCTACTTTCCAAGCTTTTACATTGCCCCACCCCGGCCCAATAAACAGACCTGGATGAGATTCTGGCCTTTGCCATCAAAGGAACTTACTGCTAGCTGGAGCTCCACATGCTCTACCACATGCCAACCAAGACTAGGTCACACATTTATGCCAGGAGCCACATCCCCAAAAAATGGAGGGGACTCATGGCAGCCCCTGCCTTCAAGGGGGCGAAGGAAACCAATGGAATGCAGCTTTACATGTTAGGTGGCTTGACAAGCCCAGAGGAGGAATCTAACTCTTGAGGAAAGGGAGGTAACGGGTCTAATCTCTTCTATCATTATTCAAATTGCCAAACATAAACAGAAATAGAGAGAATTGATCATGAGCCCTCGGCACCCATCTTCCAATTCCAGTGATTAGGAACTTATGGACAATCTACTTCGTTTGTACCCCCACCCAACTGTACAGAATCATTCTTTTTTTTTTTTTTCCAGATTTTATTTATTTATTCATGAGGGACACAGAGACAGAGAGAGAGGCAGAGACACAGGCAGAGGGAGAAGCAGCCTCCGTGCAGGGAGCCTAAGGTGGAACTCGATCCCGGGTCTCCAAGATCACGTCCTGGGCTGAAGGAGGCACTAAACCGCTGTGCCACTGGAGCTGCCCCCTGAATTATTCTAAAGTAAATCTCAGAGATCATATCATTTTGCCCATATTGTACAAGATAGGGACTCTTTTTTTCCTAACAGAGCAATAAAATAGTAATTTTTTATTATCACCAGGTGGATACTTGGTCAACGTTTAAAGTCTTGATTGTCTCATTATTTTTTTATAGCTGGTTCACTCAAATCAGGATCCAAACCAGGTCTGATGCAGGCAGACTGAATCTGAAAATGCAGGGGAGGGTCCCGACCAGGCCGGCCAAGAGTCCTTGGCTTCATGCAGGATAGATAGAAATCAAATACAAGCCAGAGAAAGTGAAAACCTGGTTTATTGAATAGCGAAGTGACAGGTAGAGAATAGCAGACAGAGTGTCTAGAAGCCTCACAAAGGAATGAAGAATGAGTCTTGTTGCTTGGGGGTAGGG